GTGAGCTTGTACTGGTGCTCTTTGCCGTAGTTCAACTTCTCTGTGTTTTTGATAAAACCTTACATGGGAGAGAAACCGCAGTGAGGCCCTAAACCCAAGTTCTTCTTCCCTTTCGTTGGCTTATGCTGAAACACAGAATGCACTGCTGGGCCCCTGTAAGTGCAGGCGGACACAGAAACAAACGTGAGCTTGAGATAACGGGCAGGTGATGCGGTTCACATGTGCTCTGAACGCACACTAGGGGTTTAATTGTGCTGCCATTGCCGCCTTGGCCTGGAGGCCTGGGGAACTGGATGGTGCTCAGCTACCGTTACTGAATGTGGGTCTGCGTCTATCGAAGAATTCCGGTCATAAGGGGAGGACACACAGCGGGATTTTAGATTCTCAGGGACTACCAGCATCCTGGAGCCAGGAAGGTAGGATCAACTCATGAAAGTATTGCCCCAAGAGAATCTTTAAACTTTAAATTTAAAATAGCTCTTGACGTCCTGTTAGAAGCAAACCATAGTTTAACTTAACAAGCCCAGAAAGGCCTGCCGGGAGCACGGTGCTCCTAAAACAGCCAACTCTCTCGGATCAAAGTGACCATGAGGACTCAGAAGACCAGCGGGGACCTGGGGGCCGGGCAGCCCAGTAAAGGAGCTGGCCTGACCCAGGGAACGAAACCCACATAACCCACGTCTAAGAGGTTCCTGTAGGAACCAGTTGAGCCGTGTGTTTGCAACATACACCACCACCAACAGACAGACAAAATACTGTTACACAGAGAAAATGCTAGTCTGTAACTCAATCCCATTTACTCTGAGAGGTCTGTACAGGGTTTTATATTTACCTTAGGATTTAGTACTTGAGGGACCCGACTATAAGCAGGTGACATAATTTTATGAAACACCACATCCGGGTGCACCAACCACGCTTGCTACAAGGAGTCATTTGGGGAGCTCACGGGGGCAGAAGCCTGCTTTCTGAGGAAGAAGGGAGGCGCCAGGCTTGCAGGCAAATCCCACCCAGTCTGATCATGGAGAAGGGATGACCTTGTCATGAAACCTTGCGCTGTAAGGAGCCGCTTCTGTTCCATGACAGAGGCTGGAGGTGGGCTCCGCAGCCGCAGGGAGGTGCAGGCCCCCGGCTTCCAGGGGAGACAGAACGGCTACCTGATGGCAGCGTGGGGAAAAACAAAAATTCAAGCTAGGGCCGACCTTACTCAGACCTGAGGTGATAGGAAGATGAATAGCTTCTTCAAACGAAGAGCAGGTTAAGTGGGGGTGTGGAGGGAGGGCTGCATCTGATCGCAGTGGGCAGGGGAGGAAGCCAGCAGCAGGCCTCGCAGAGAACCCCAGCCCTGTGGGTGCCGGGGGCAGCGTGAAACACGGGCATAGCAGGTCTCTGTTACTGGGGTGCCCCGACAGGGACGTGGGCTACAAGCTGGTGGGTCCGGCCCGAGACAGGGTCCTCTGTCCTTACCATCTTTGTCTACGGTGAACGGTACGTCTGGGGTGACCACTTCATAGCTGCAGATCTGGCTGAACTGGGGGGAGCAGTCGGCGTCGAGCGCCTCCACCCGCAGGATGCTGTCGTACTGCCGGCCCTCGACGACCGTGGCCTTGTAGGCCTTCTCCTTGAACACCGGCGCGTACTCGTTCACATCGTTCACCTGGATGTGCACAGTGGCTCTGGGGGTGGGGGTGGGGGTTGAGGGGGGAGAAGCTGTTTTTCTTTACCCAAAGGGTACCAATCCTGCCCCACTTCTATTTTTGATGTTAAATGTTTTATCGGGAGCTCTTACAGATAGCATGACATTCCTCCAGCAGTATGATACGGCCTGCTACCACAATCAACACCATTTCAAAACCGTTTCTTCCCTCTTGAACTCCTTGATGTCAGCTCCCCTTTGTCCCCCCACCCTGCCCTCCCCCACATTACCCCCCAGCCCTGGGAACTCTTCTTCTTCTTTTTAAATAATAGGAGTGGGGGTATTTTTTGGCCTTATCTTACACAATCCTATCTCTCCATTCACATACAATTCTGTTGTTGGAGCCCACTGAGTGGGGTTACAGTCATCAATGCTATCCGCTCCCCTTCAGCCCCCCCCCCCCC